TTAAAGACACCAAAATTGTGTGGACTTAACAAAACATAAACTTAAAATCATCACAGGAATCGTCACAGAACACTGTAAACTAAAACAGCAGTGTCCTGTGAATATAAATATGTAGTATATATAATATATATAAGTATATTTATATTTATATTTATTTATATATTTATCTTAATATTTACTTATATTTATTTATTTATTTATATATGAATATATATTTATTTTGAATTTTGGTAATTTCCTTTGTGGGAACTTAATTTTTAAGGGTTGCATTCGACACTTTCTCCCTTAAATCAGTTGATTTATTTATAATGAACTCATTAATAAGAAAGCTCTTTGTATGATAAATTATCCTCATTAACGGTCTTAGTGAGCAAAACTGCTTAATTAAAACAGTAGAAACATGGTGTTAGTTTTTTGGCATCAAATCTAAATTTCCTTCTTTGCAAGTGAGGAAAATAGGATCTGTTGGAGGCTGAACAACTAGGGATGAATTGTTTATTTATATGATGTACTACGCCTATACATTTAAAGTTTTTATTGTCTCAAAGGAGTTGTTTTTTACTTTTTTTTTAAGCTATTTGGAGTAAATAAATTAAGATGCTAAAAATATACTTCCAAGTATTATAAAAATGAATAAAAATCTAATCTCCAAACAGTTAGATGCTGTGGATGTTATGGTAGTTGCAATATAAATATTTGATATAATATAAACTTCAATTGCATATGGTATGTGGCTTTGACCTGCGATGCATGGCATGAGTATATACATATGTAGAGGCACTATATAGACAAAAGTCCTGCTGTTTCTATATGTTTCATTGGAAAGGATAACAAATATTTACTACTAGCAACAAAATAAAGCTTAGTTATCAAGATTTTCTTGCTAAATTAAAATTAATATCAATAGTATTCAATATTTTTCTTATAAGTAAGAAAAATATAACAACTGATATTCCATATTTTTAAATTTATTAAAACTTTCAACAACATGACTTTAATATACAAAATTCATATATAATATACAATATTTACTGCTTTATATAATATATAAGCATTAATGGTTATTGATGTGAGGTTCACACCTCCCATTTTAAACACCTCTTTATCTCGTTTTAATCTGTTTAATTAAAGGTTTGCGGTGTAATTATGCTTTTAACTGAGTTAGTATTTGAATTTTATAATATATTCAAAATTATTTTAATTACTCAAAATATTTAATAAAATCATGAATTTTTGTGGTTAAAATGACAAAAGCGTTTCAAACAAAAATCGCATTTAATTAATAATAAATTTTTTTTAGAGCAAAAAAAAGATAAAAGAGATGCTATTATGCATAATTAAAAAATTACAATAAAATCATAAAAACATTATTAAAAGGTAATGATTTTCAATGAAATTAATTAAGCATACATTAGGAAATATTTATTTAATTTGAAAAACTGGTGTAATTAATTTAATAACTAGCAGTTTTTCACTAACTGCACAAATGTATGTATATATATATTATTATATATAATGACCTATATTATTACATATATCAAATTCATATAAATAAAAATTTATATATTAGAATATATAGCTTCTTGAGAATGACCGATGTATTTATATAATGGTCACACAAACTTCAATAAATTAACTAAAATTTTTGTTGTTATCTTTTCATTTCTATGCGAACACTTCTAACTTTTAAATAGTTTCCTTTCGTTATAAGACACATCACTTTCGACAAAAAAAAATTAAAGTATTTATATAATATTCCATTTTAAAGCAAGATTTAAGTAAGATTAAGAGAATATAAGTTTCATTCTCATGTTTTGACGACAAAATCGGAAAAGGAACATACATATAAGTTAGGTTTCTTTGTAAAATGAATATACTTTGTGCACTATTTCGTGTATCAAGCATTTCTGTTTATTTAAAATCTATAATCTAACAACTCTTAAATTATATGCTCCAATCTTGAACATACATTGTGACCGAAAAGTTTCCGGAAATTTTAAATAAAACGCAAAATTCTTAATCTTCATCAATATTTATTTTATCTCCTTCAAAATATGCTCCATTAGAAGCGATACACAAATGCCAACGTTTCTTCCAATCATCAAAACATTTTTTATAGGCGCTTTCCGGTATGGCTTTGAGTTTCCTCTGCGAATTCTGTTTTACGTCTTCTATGGATTCAAAACGCGTTCCTCTGAGTGGTAATTTGAGTTTGGGAAACAGGAAAAAGTCACACGGTGCAAGATCAGGTGAATACGGGGGCTGTTCGATGGTATTTATTGAATGTTTGGCCTTAAAATCGTTGATAATGTTGGCTCGGTGCGAGGGAGCATTATCGTCATGAAAAATCCATGAATTATCCTTCCACAATTGAGGCCGTTTACGGCGGATATTTTCACGCAAACGTCTTAAAACAGTCAAATAATAGGCTTTATTGACTGTTTGTCCTTCAGGGACGAATTCATGATGCACCACACCACGAATATCGAAGAAAACAATCAGCATTGCCTTGATTTTCGAGCGACTTTGGCGTGGTTTTTTCGGTTTCGGCTCGTCTTTTCCTCTCCATTCCGATGATTGTTGGCTTGTTTGCATGTCGTACTCGTAGACCCATGTCTCGTCACCCGTTATGATGCGTTCCATGAAAGTTGGATCGGAATTGGCACGATCAAGCATGTCTAACGAGACCTGTCCACGATGGTGTTTTTGGAACAAATTGAGGTGAATCGGAAAAAGCCGAGCGTTGACACGTCGCATACACAAATTGTCCACCAAAATCAAACGAGCCATCTCACGACCGATGCCTAGCTCTCGTGCTATCTCTCTAACACTCACATGAGGATTTTTGAACACGATTTCCTTTGCCTTTTCAATGTTTTCGTCGGTGGTAGAGGTCGAAGGTCGTCCAGAACGCGGCATGTCTTCGACGGTCGTACGACAGTCCTGAAAGGCTTTGTACCACTCATAAACTTGAGTTTTCGATAAAACTGATTCCCCATAAGCCTTTTGTAGCATTCGCAACGATTCTGCACACGAAAATTCGTTCGAAACACAAAATTTGATGCAAACTCTTTGATCAATATTTTTTTCCATTGTTTTTTTTCGCAACGCACTACTGAGGTGAACTGGTTTTCAACAGTGCCGGTTAAACGAATGTTCTGACAGATCGCGTCATTTTTAGCCATAGTAAATTAAGGACAGTGCTGCAAACATAAACTTAAAATATCGAAAAATATACAGCGCGCGAATTTTAAATGAGAATTTCCGAAAACTTTTCGGTCACAATGTAAACTTTTGAAGGCGAACCTATAGCTATGTGTCATCTATTGTGATATCACCAAATAATATGGTACCTAAACTGTATTGCTTATGGAATCCAATCTTGAAAATAAACTTTTGGAGGCGAAACTGTACTTATGTGTCATCTATTGTGATATCACCGAATAATATGGTACGTAAACTGTATTGCTTATGGAGTTCAATTTTGAAAATAAATTTTTGGAGGTGAACCTATACCTGTGTGTCATCTATTATGATATCACCGAAGAACATGGTACCTAAACTGTATTGCTTATGGAGTTCAATTTTGAAAATAAATTTTTGGAGGTGAACCTATACCTGTGTGTCATCTATTATGATATCACCGAAGAACATGGTACCTAAACTGTGTTGCTTATGAAGTCGTTTAAAAGCTCTCATAAAGTGACTGTGAGAAAGCCATAAACATATTAGTCTAGGCAGGTACAGAAGATGTGTCCCATGATATCTTCTTTCTCTTCATCTTCTTAACTACTGCAATATTCAATATTCATTCAACATAATGTTATCTTTTTAAACTTTCTTCGTATACGATTCCCGCATATTTTTGTTGAAACCTATCAGATATATTTATTATAGGTATTACTTTTTAGAAAGTCCTTACACTTTATTTAACTAAGAAGAAATGTTTTGTAGTATATTTTTTCGTATGAATAATTCTCTTTATCAGCCATAGTTTTGAAGATACTTTCATCTTTCTGCTTTTTTCTCCTCCACTTTTCACTGAAACAACTACTGTTGCATCAGTATGCAAAAGTATGAATGTAACTAAATATCTGGATTCTTGGTTTGCTTTTTAATATTTTTTAATTTCATTATATAAAAAAAAATAATTCATAAAGAAAAAAATATATACAACATAGAATTGAGTTTATTTTTTAGCAACAAATTTTATTCGTAATAAATTAATTATTTTTTACGCTATTCAGTTTTTTAAAAATTTGGTTTATTTTATATGAAAATAAGTTAACTTCAAACGTTTAAGTTAATTAAAGTAGTACTAAATGATATGAATATTCCAATCCATCATATATATTGGATTAAAATTTTTTTTTTTATATTTATTTAAATATATTTAAATATATGGATAACCAACAGATTGGTGTGTTGAAATGCTAAATCCGATATATATGTTGTACAGTGTGATATT